GTAGTGGGTCTTCAGGTGCATGAGGCAATGGAAACTTCTAAAAGGGCGTGGAGCGCTCCACCCAGCCTTCTGGAGGAGGATGGGAGCGAAAGCAGCAGATGGGCCCAAGATTCTGTTTTCAGTTCCCCAAAGGGCTTTCCCCTTGACCAAAGCAGTGTGACCGTTGCTATGACAGTTGCTATCTTGGTCCCTGGGACTCTTCCCGCTAAGATAGCAGAACTTTTTTTTAATCTCCTTGGGCCAGTCACCATGAAACTCAGTAGTAACTACTCTAGGGTGGAGTGCTGGAAGCTTGTTTGGGGTCTGAAACTGTTGTGATGGTTGAGGATGTTGGGGTATCAAGTGGGACTTTTGTTCAAAGTGTTTCTTTTCTAAATGATCCCAGCACTCCTCTTGATTGCCGTGGGCTTGTTTGATTCTCCATTTTTACAGAAGTTGAATGATTGCTCCTTGAAGATGCCCATAATTAGCTCCTTACTGCAACTGATAGAAACCCAACAGGTTGAAAGAATACTGGATCTAGTCTCAGACATGTCACTAAGAGACCAGATCAGATCATGTAGTCTCTGATCTTGAGTAATTTTTCTGCTAACTAAAATGCTTTATTTCTAAACTTTCTCAACTCTATGATTCATTGATGCAGTGGTCCTAAAACTGACACCCATAAATAGTAATTATTGAGTAACTAACATGTTATTGCTTTAAAAAATTACTTGTTAGTTATTTGCAAGGAGAAGAAAGAAAGAGGGAGGAAGAGACAGATCTTTATTTATTTATTTATTTATTTTGACAATCTTTACATAAACAGGGTAAAAAGGGTTCAAGCTCTTCAGGAAGATGGTCAAGACAATTAGTTACTTATTGTTTCCTCAATATATCTGATGTAAAAGGGGATTTTAAGAGAGAAGCCCCATCCAGTCTCCCACATGCCCCAGGTCCCTTATATGGGGCATGCTCCGAGGGTCTTGCTTAAGTGGTTTTGATAGTTCAACAGTTATGAATTGCTGCCACTCTCGCCACTCCAAGCATGATGAGGTCGTTGAGGGCTCCACTGATTGACATAGTCCATCATAGAGTCTCCATTTGCTCAGTTTTTCACTGCCAACATATAGCTGAGATGGTTGACTGGTTCGAGACATACCTTCTACCCACTGTTTCACTCCTCAGTTGTCCACAATAGCCAGGCCTGGTCCAGAATGAAACTAGAAGGTCAGAACTTAATCCAGATTTCCTACATGAGCGCAGGAAGTAAAGTATCAGCCATCACCTGCTGCTTTCCAAGGTGTACATTAACAGGAATCCAATTGGAAGTAAAGTAAGTGGGATTCAAACCTGAATGTCTTATATTTGTCAAAGTTGTGCACATGGTAGTTTCTGTGTTTTTATAACATTCATATATGATAGCCACAATTAAATCTTAGTAAACTCTTCTGAAACTAATGAGAAAGTGGTATTGAATAAGAATAAAGACTTTCTTCTAAAAGAATCTGTAAGAATCTTTCTCAAGAAATATACATTTTTTTTAAAAAGATTTATTTTTATTTGAAAGAGTTACAGAGAGGAAAAACAGACCACACACACACACACACACACACACACACACACACACAGAAGTGGTTGGGAAGGTGAGCCGAAGGAAGAGGACCTGATGGGTGATTGGGAGAGTCTCCCTCATGAGCCACTTTGCCTCCTGATTCTCTCTTCTCTCAGCTTCATCCTGCCCACAGCCTTCATGTGCCTACTTCAGTGTACAAGGTCTTCCTGAATTTCTCAACCTGAATCTCAGCAATATACATATTTTGAACTCTGTATTTTATTTTTTGGATGGCATATTCCTAATTTGCAAGATAGTTAAAGACTTTGTGCTGTAAGCATTTGCTGGGAGCCATGAGCCATTCTGAGCACATCTGTGGTTCTCTGTGCACCTGACCTGAACACTCCTTTCTCTTCTGTGACTGTGGATTCACTGTTCTCCCAGCTCCACCTCCATCTGTGACTCTCCCACTCCCTGCTTGTCACTCCAGCACTTTTCTTATGTGTCCCAATCTGCCGGATCATTTCATCAGCGTTCAGAAGGGTTGCCCTTTCTCCCAATTTAATGTATGCTCTCTGTAGAATCTGCTTCTCTTTCTTGTCTCCTTTCTTTCCTCTGTTCTACTTCTTTTTTTGAAAGAATTGTCCAGGAACAGTCTCCAAGTTTTTGCTTCCACTCTTGTTTGAACCTACCTGATCAGACTTTTGCTCTGTGTAGTTCACTAGTGACTACTTGCATTGGTAAATACAATGGCCCATTTTCATTCTCTATTTTAGTTGACCAGTCTTTTTTTTTTTTTAGATTTATTTTTTATTGGAAAGTCAGATATACAGAGAGGAGAAGAGACAGAGAGGAAGATTCTCTGTCCAGTGATTCACTCCCCAAGTGGCTGCCACAGCCAGAACTATGCCAATCCAAAGCCAGGAGCCTGAAGCTTCTTCTGGGTCTCCCACACGGGTGCAGGGTCCCAAGGCTTTGGGCCATCCTCTACTGCTTTCCCAGGCTGCATGCAGGGAAATGGAGCCCCCGGAACACAAACCAGCTCCTATATGGGATCCTGGCATGTGCAAGGCAAGGACTTTAGCCCTTTGTTGACCAGTCTTAACAATCAACCCCATTGGTCACTCTTTCCTCTGTAATTTTTCTTCTCTTGTTGTCCAAGACTAAATCATTCTTCTGACTTTCCTACACTTGATCTTAGCCAAAAGGCCGAGAGGTGATCCTCTCATTTTCCTTCTTCTCCATTGGTCAATCCCCTTCATGCTTTGCTTTATCCTCATTTTGCCTACTTCCTAATAACTGAGTAGTGTCCAGCTCAGTTCTTGGAGTTCTTTGTCCTCACATGCTAGGCACTCTCTCCTAGTCTCAGGGCTTTACTCGTATCTGTGTGATGATGGACACCACATTCAGGTCTCTGGCATTGTACTGAGCACCTAACACATCTTGGCTTGTCTGACAGGCATTTCAGACTTAGCATGTCTAAAATCAAGCTTCTGAGCCTCCGGTAATCAGACAGTGTTGCCTGGGATAAGAATGGGATGAAATGGTGAGCTTATTTAGAAACCCAACTTATATTGCTATTTTCATATGTATTTATTGCTTGTTTTGTATATATTCCCAGGCACGGGATTGCTGGGTCATGTGTTAGATGAATTTTCAGTTGCCTGAGCACTTCCCATACTGACATCCATAGTGGCTGCACAATTCTACAATCCACCAGCAGTGGACTAGGATACATTTCCCCCACATCCTTGCCAGCAGCTGTTGATTGTTATTTTCACTGGGTTAAGTGGAACCTCAATGTGTTTTTTGAAAAAGTAAAAAAAAAAAATAGGACCAGCATTGTGGCACAACAGGTAAAGTCATTGCCTGCAACATTGGCATTCCCTGTGGGCAGCTGTTTGAGTCCAGGCTGTTCCACGAGTCCTGGCTCTTCCAATCCAGCTCTCTGGTAACACTCCTGGGGAAGCAAAAGATTTCCTAAGTGCTTGAGCCCTTTTCATTCACATGGGAGACAGGGAAGAAGATCCTGATCCTGGCTTTAGCTTGGCCTAACCCAGGGGAATTATCCAGGAAGCGAACCAGTGGGTGGGAACACTCCTCTCTCTCCCCACTTCTTGCTCACATTGCTTTGTAATTCTCTTTACAAATAAATAAATAAACCTTATAAAAAAAGTAAAAAATAATCTGTGAAATTAGTCTCAAAACAATTTAACCCACTATATCCAAAGTATATTACCATCCCAATATGCAATCAAAATAGAAAATATAAACATATTTGTGGTACTGCATCTCCTAATGCTGGCCTTTAGACTTTCAGCACATCTCAGGATGGCGTAGTCTCATTCTCAAAGCTCCTTAGCTCCATGTTCTAGTGGTAGCTGTTCTGGATACAGGTCTAGAACATACGGGAGCTAATTGAAGGATCAGCCATTTGGTGCTACAGATTCTGACTGAAGCAAATGTTCAAGGAGTAAAACAGGCAATAGTCAAATTGAGCTACTCCTTTTTTTTTTTAATGGCTAACAATTCTAAATTCCTTAGTATATATGTGGCCAGATACTTAGCCTTAATTAAACTGGATTACTTTTCTTAATTTTCACAATTTTACAAGTTAGACTTCTCCCACCTTCAGATGGGAAAACAAAGACCCAATGGTGAAGGAACTTGCCATCATGGGCAGTGAATATATTTTCTTGGAAGTTAAGCACACACTATGATAGGGAAGGCAGCTTAAGGATTCATCAGTACACATTACTAGAGCACCAATCACATGTACTTCCACCAAAAAAGGAAGAGGAAATGGAAGAGGAAGACTGTTTATGTTGGGCAACAACCAAGTCATCTAATGATTGCTGGGTTATGGAATGTGAACATTTGTTAGCTTTAGGGAGCATGCCCAACATTTTAACAAATGCTCTTAACCTCACAGTGTAATGAAAAATCAAATTAGGCTGTGTAAAGTGCTCAGCATAATCCTTGGAATACAGGAACTCTTGAATATGTATGTTTAAAATGATAATAAAGGTATGACATTCTGTGAAGTCCAAACTCCATGATGGATTTAAAGAGTTTGGTATTGCATGTTCATCTAGGTTGTTTGCACTGTTTTATATCATGCTGCAATAAATGACTTTCTTTTATAGTTGCTTGATGTTGAAAGATTGTGTTTTGGTAAACCTGTGGAGTGCGTTGGATTGAACTGTGTGAGACTGTGGGGCTCAATGAGGGGAGAGAAAGTGGAGAGACAAGGGTCTGCCTTGTGGTCCAGGGGATGGAGGTGTGAAGACAGGACAGGGGCTTGTGGATTCTCAGGGAGTGGTGTCTCCTAGATGACTGCAGGTTTGGGTGGGATGGAGGATGCAACAGTCGGGATGGGACAACTAATATTTAGTCTCTTAGAAGAGAAACAGCGCAACTGGATGCACAATGTAGGATAACCATTAAATGAGGAAGGAGAGAGAAATAATAGGTGCAAAGATTCTCTTTATTTATCCATTTCCCCCACCAATATTCGCATGATCAAAGCCAAGGAAGGGGTGGGGAGGGCACAGGAGGTGAGGGGCTGGAGGACTGCACTGCAGTGGGGGCTGGGTCCACCGAGGGCAGGGAAGCATCGACACTGGGCCTCAGGATCCGCTGATGGTGCTGGGTGAGTGTCTGGCTTTAGCATTCATTCCTGTTAAAGCTCTTGACAAGTGGTGAGGTCAGGCCTGCATGTGTTATCTCACAGGTGTACACATCGTTGCTGTTGTACTGTGTAGTGCTCAGCGTCAGAATGCTGCTGAGGCTGTAGGTATTGTCTGAGCAGTTCTGTGGTGTTTTGCTCTCCTGGATACCAGTTGTATGGGTGACGCCACCCACCTTCCAGGTGACAACGATTTCACTGGGGTAGAATTTATCCGCTATGCAGACAATAGAGACTGTGCCGGAGTTCAGCATTCCCTTATCTGGTGGGAAGATGGAGGCAATTGGTGCAGCTGTGTCACCTGAGGAAGGAAACACAGAGGTTTGGGGCTTGAGTACCAGGGAGCTTCTCCCCAAGGGGGCATAGGGAATGAACACAGAACAATTAGGGACAGACATACAGACAGCAGCCAGTACAATTGTTGCAACAGGACCAGCAAGCAGATGTAGAATCTGAAGATTTGGGGTGTTGCCCTGGATCCCACTACCCCTTCAGAATCCTCAGTATTGTATAAATTCTATGGGAACCCAAACCAGGAGGCCCCTTTGGTGTGTTCCTCTCCTCTGTCAGTATTTTCCAGGAAAGGTCAACTGAAAGCTGGGCCACCTGCCCAGGAGGAAGTGGTGCCCAGAGCTTTATTTCTGACCTTGAGCAGCTGCCAGATGGCCTCGTGGAAACCCCCACCTCAGTGGGGACTCAGGGCCTCAGGCAGGAGAGCAGAGTTAAATAGTAATCATAATAAAAAGAATCAAGAATCCTTTCCTGGGAGAAATCAACAGATAGCTGAACAGGATTTAACAAAGCTAACCATAAGGTTCATCCAATAGTTCAATATAAGATACTTTTGTTTGCTGTTCCTCTTTAAATGTTATTATTAGTCCCCTCCCATAATTGTATAAAGTAGACTTGGCAGCTAAATGTGCTCTCCAGAGAAACTAAGCAGGAAAAAATGTTTTATGAAGAACCTCCACCTGGGCAAATGACTCTTTGATGGCTTTAAGCTTTCCATCTGGTATTTAACATACTAAACAATTAGCATATTTTAAATGCAAGGTTTTTGAAGATGTTTTATTATGCCTTTTGAAAAAGTCTGAAAGTCTTTAAAGGTTTTTAAGAGGACATAAAACATTTTTTAAAATAATTGAAAAGGTTTGATGTCATCTTACAGGGTTTTAAATTAGTTTCAAAGGGCTTTAAAAGTGTCTTAAAATAGTCTTATTAAGCAGTTGTGGTCTAAGATAATCTACTCTAATCATCAGGTTTGAAATCAGCTGGGGTGGTCAACAGCAAGAGCGGTAAATCATTAAACTGTTTTAGAAGTTATGAAGTTAAAATATCTACATTCAAATTTTTCTATCACAGACTTAAATATGAGAAAATACATTCTATTGATTTTATTAATTACATTCATAAATGATTAGATATTTTGTACAACTGTAATACTGCGCGTGATGATAAATTATTGAAATTAGCAATTTGCCCCATATTTGCCTGGCACTTATTAGTTAGTTATATGTTTTATTGGTATTCATATAAACTGTGCATTGACTGAGATCCAAGTGGCTGAATCATTGCTCTTAAACTTGATTTTGTTGTAAGTTTGGATTTTTACCACAAAGAAAGTTCTAAATATGCTCCTTTTTTTTTTTTTTAAAAAAAATGAGCTTTCATAATTAAATAAACATGAAAAGAGAATATTGGAATAACACTGGAATTTTTGTTTATCACTCAATAAAAGAAACGTTTTATGTTCTGTATCGTCCCCCTACAGGGAAATGTTAAAAAGAGGTTAAAATACTGAGCATAGATTTTGTTTCTAAAATTTTCAATAAATCACTCTTGGTCATGCTAGCTGAAGGTCCACCATATTTTATTTATGTTATTGTCATTATGTGTATCACGGTGTGTCAGAACACCTGGCCATGGCAGAGTTGAACCGGCTCCGTCAGGGTTGCTGTGGCCTTTAGCGGCCAGGCACACTGCCACAGAGAGTAATGGAATGGCCAAGCAAGTCATCCTGTCATGAAAAACGACCACCACAGGAGCTACAGACCATGCTAGCTGTGCCACGGCCCCCATGGTGCTACAAGAATAGGAATAAGTAACTGAGGAAAATTGAAACAACTTACAGTTCCCTCCAAACCTGTAAAATACTTGGTACTTTCCTTCAAGCCCATGGGCATTAAACAACGCAATGCCTTTCCATCATTTAAGCAAACCTCTTTGAAACAGATCGTTTGAACCTCTGTCCCTGCATTATTGTGACTAGAGGCCATTTTGTGGTTTCATGTGAAAATTGGATTTTTTTTTTTTTTTTAAAAAAGACGCAGCCTGTAACAGCCTAATTCCTACAGACCCACATCACTCATTTTAGGCTCTAACATTACACTGCTACCAAGTTCTCTAGCACACTAAATAGGTATTATTTTCTAACTTTTTACTGATTTTTAAAATGCAAGTTAGTGATCATTATAGCTGTCAAAAATCAATTAATTCCTCAGACCAAAGAGAGAAGGCAGATTAAGAAATACATTTCTTTCCTTTATGAATCATACGCAATGAGCCAAATAGCACTGCCTTATTTGATAAAGCTCAATAAAAATGAATGTCTTTGCTCTTTAGAGCATAGAGTCCCTGTTTAACTTCATTGATTTCTGCCCCTTTGAGTGATCTAGCATAGAGCCATCTAATACTATGGTCTCTGAATCCATCCAGCTTTCACACCAGATGCCACGTCTGGAACACACTCATTGACCCACTTTCATAAAATTCCTACTTCTGCTTCTAGAAGAGTCTATCTGGGCAATGACAGCAAAACGTCAAACAGTACGGACAAGTTCTTTGCCTCGGAGAACAGATTTTCTGTTCTGTTCATCCATTCTCCATTTAATTCCTTTTTTTTTTTTTTAAGAATTCTATTTTCTGTTGAACTGACCTCAACTCACATTCCCAACACAAAAATCACAAACTTTCACAGCTCCATAAGGAAAAGGATTGGGAAAGTGCACTTACGTTTGAGCTCCAGCTCGGTCCCGGGGCCAAAAGGATACCACAGTGAGGACTCCATCATCCTCCCCTCCACCAAAACCTGCTCTGATGCCGGTCATGACAAACAGGCAGAGGCAGAGAAACTTCTGCTGTTTGTTCCTCCTGTTCTGCTCACAACCCTCTCCACTTTGTCTGTTCTCTCAGCTTTTGATCATTTTTCTTCTACTTACTTTTGAGTCACCACGAATGCTGACTTTCACCACACATCACAAATTTGCACAAATGATGCCATGGTACTAAAACTTCACAGAAAATTGAGCAAAAAGGTACTTACATTTAATTTCCACTTTGGCCCCCGGGCCAACCGTGAATCACAGTGAATTCCTTTAAGTTCTCCATCTACAAAAACTTCCCGGGAAAGGCAACCAAGACCCACTGCCCTCAGTGAAGTTAGTCCGACTCAGAAATCTCTAAGACTAGCCTCCTGAGGAACCATTTTCCCTCCCTGGCACCAAATCCTGGAACATATTTCATGACAAGCCTGACCTCCAGCGAACAAAGACACACAAAATTGAACAAAACAGCAAACCACAGAGACAGAGGCAGCGAAGAATGGGTTCAAAGGCCACTTACGAATGATCTCCAGCACCGTCCCATCGCCAAAGCCTTCACACAGTGGTGCCTTCTAACTTCCCTCCTTTACAAAAACTGAGTTTCCCCTTTTGAGCTTGGGTAAACTCTGCCCAGAACATGTTAGGATGTACCCCAGGACATTTCTGGATCTGGCAGACAAACTACTCTCCCTCCAGGACCGATTCTTGGTCTCAACAGAAAGACACAGTGATTGCTCATGTTTGCCTGGAGGGTTCTTGAGCCTGGTTCCTCACAAGAGTCAGCATGCAGAGCCTGACACGGAGCCTGAGACCAAAAGACACAGACAACTGGAGAGGCAAGGTTTGGGTTTTACTCACATTTGAGTTCTAGCTTGGTCCCAGGTCTGATTGTCCACCATAGCTCTTGGGTGTTTTGCTGTACAAAAACTGTACAAAACTCTTCTCAGGGAAGAGGAACAGAGGCCCACCTCATTACAAGAGCAGTTACTGCCTTTCTGAACAGGTGTAGAAGCCTCAGGACTTCTCAGATGCTAGTATTTGTTGTCTCAGGTGAGATCTAAGATCCTAGACGTCACATAATATTGATATTTGTATGTTACTTCTGGTAGACCCCTTTCTGCCACAGCCTACCACATATAGAATGCTTGGCATTTATTTATTTATTGTATAGTAAGCTCAATCTGAATTCCAAGAAAAATGAATGAATGAACTTGCCACTTGTTTGAAGTTTCTCCTAGGGTGCTTCTTTTTCTGTATTTGGATCTTTTTCATCTACTAAAATCCCATGGAAAATACGTCCAAAAGTACCTTCTTGGAGTACATCTTTCAAAGTGATCCTCTCTCTGGATATCGTATGTCCTTCACCTTGGCTTTGGCTTCTAGAAGAGTGACACTCCTTAGGTCGTTCTTCTCTATCCGCAAGGTGGGATAACCTGAGGAGCTGGTGATGGGAGTTGCATTGTTGGGTGTGTCAGCAGTCAGGTACTGTGTCGTCTGGGTGGATGGCTGAGAAAGGCCTTGGGAACTACTGCTGGCGCTGATGCTGTCATCCAATTCAATCCTCTTCATACTATGAAGGTGCAAAACAGCCAATATTATTGCTACAAGAAATATCACTGCGCAGCAACCCCCTACACTGATATAAAACACGCGTGTAGAGGTGGTGGGAGCTGCGTGTACAGGATCATAAATAGTTCTGCTAGTGTTTTTGTCCAAGGCTGAAGTTTTTACTTCTTCAAGTTTTTTGTAGCACATTTTCCTTCGCTTAAAATTTAAGACTGTGAAGTTTTTTGAGGCATTTACTGTCAAGTTGAGTTGCATTAAAATCATAACTTCAGAATCTACTTTGCCAGTGCAGGAAAGTTCGACCCGAAACTCTGATAAAGTACGTGGAACTTCCCCCTGAACAGAAATGTTGACCTGGGGCATGTCCATAGCCACATAATTGTCTACTTGGAATCCCAGCTTATATTCAACCTTGGACTTCGCATGCCAGGTGAAGTGCAAGAAATTTGTCTCACTGGGTACTAACAGGTTAAAGGACAGAGCATAGTGACTAATAAGGTCGTTTCTCACATAATAAAGTTCTGCATCAAGACCGATGAGCCGGCGCACCTCGTCCTCGCTCAGGTAGAGGCTCACGCTGGGCCCCGCGGCCGCCGGCGGCAGGGCAGGGGGCCACGGGGCCGGGGCCAGCAGGAGCCACGGCGGCGGCGGCGACCTCAGGCCGCGGGCTCCGGGGACGCGGCCCCGGCCTGGCCGCCCCGGCCGCGCCGCCCCGCGCATGGCCCGCGCCGCCGCGCCGCCGCCCACCACCCCCGGCCTCGAGCCCCTCACAGCCCCGAGCCGGGGGCGGCCGCCCTGCTCATCGCGCCGCCGGCCCGTGGCAGCCAGCCGCCGCTTCAGACCGCCAGAGCTCGCTGCCGCCGCCGCCGCCTCCTCGGCGACCTCGTCCCGGGAGAGCGACGCGAGCCGGCGGGGTAGGAGGGCCTGCTCCCGGGGGCGAGCCTGTGCGCGCCACCGCCCCAGCATCATCACTTTTCACATGAGAATGATTAAAAAAAGAAGAGTAGTTGAACATGAATCAGAGATCAGAGATGATAAATTGTAGTAGACCACAGAGCAGTACTGTTTATTGCAATAGAAAGTTTTACAGCATTAATTGTATGTATAATCCCCAGATTAGGGGTATATTTCTGTGATTCTGTCCCTGGAAGCTTTGCTAGTTGCCTGGAATAGTGGAGTTGGGCAGTGGGTCTTGCCAGGAGGCAAGGGAAGCTGAACGAATGAAGCTGGAGATAGAGAGTAGGACGATGTTAACAAGGGAAGTGAGTGGAAGAGCTGGTGGCCAGCAGAGTTACTATGTCCTAGAGAGGAAAGAAAGTGACTTTCAAACAGGTTGTCCTGTATAGGACATTTACAAAGTGCCCAAGGTTGTACATGGATCACCACGTTTAATGATTTCCCATTTTTTGTGAGCTAAAACCTGACATTTCCTGTTGTTCCACAGGTGAGCCAACCTGAGTTCAAAGAGGTCCAGAGCTGGTTTTATGATGATAAGTAAAGCTCTGCAGTATGGTCAGAGCTAGTGGACGTAGCTAAGCTATGCCACAGATGGGAGTCAGGGTGTTCAGTTAGCCCATTGGAGCAGCAGGCATGATAGTGCAGGAAGGGGGATGGTCAACCCCTCAGCCTGTCTCACAGTTGGAAATGAATGAAAAGTGCATCAAAATGTTGAAAATGTGGAAAAAATGCATAATAACTGAAATAATATAAATAGAAATAAAAAAGTGAGTCATGATTGTGCCTTATGATGATGCACAAAGCACCAATAATATAAAGTAGGCTTCTGTACATGTGGAGAGTGTAGCAAAAACCAAATTTACTAACATGATAAAGTACATGATGAAATCAATGCCTTTATATGAGAAAGGAAGCTATGACATGAGCTAAAGTAAACCCTTAGCCTGCAGGCTCTGTAGTTATGTGTTACCTTAGTTATAGTTAGAAACAACTGGTTCGTAAGAGGAAGACATCTTCCTGGAAATTAGGATGAACTAATACCAAACTTTTCCCTTTGTAGGGGTCTCAACATGTTATTTTTCGAGTGATAGACACACATGCATGATGAAATTCTCTTCTGTAATCTCAGAACTGAAGAGCACACATTGCAGGGGCTTCTCTGGTTCTGCACAGGAGACAGAAGCTGGAGAGGTGGGCTGGAGAGGTGGGCTGGAGAGTGGGGCTGGCAAAGATGAGGCTAGACGGGGATGTCTGTTTCTGAGTAAATGGAGACTTATTATGAAGAATACATCTGGATGGTCATTCTAAAGCTGTATTCATTCCTAACAAGAGTGATTCCATAAGAATTCTGGTGACAACAGGTATTTTATTGATGTTGATGTATCAACATGATCATGATGTTGATCAGTAGCCACTGAGAATTGGCTGAGGAATGAACCTACATATGGTTCATCCTGTGAAGGAGGGTGTTTGAGTGGCATCCATGAGGCTCTGTGAGGGGCTTCTTTCACAAATGCCCCTGATGTGCGAAGACAAGACCAATTGACTGTGGAAAGGCAAGCTTTGCTACCCTGCTCTGTGAGGTGCTGGGATTTAATGTGTAAGAATGAGGGGAACAAAAGTTCCTGCAGATGGATTCCAGAAACTCATCTTGAAAGATACTTTCAATTTGAGCTCCAGTTAAATTACATTGTACTTGCCGAAAAGAGAGAAGAGAAAGAGGAGTGGAGAGAGAAAATGTCAGCGAGGGAGAGAGAGGCTCAAAGAGAACGCATACAAATGCACACAAACCATCCTGAACACTGTGGATAAGTGGTCTTAGCAGGGTTCCCCAGCTCTGTCACTTCATGAAATGCCATTCTGGATGGACCCCTGACACACTAGCCAAGCCTCTCAGCGGCTTCCATACCTGCTTTGGAACACTTGTCTGTTGTTCCTCTTCAAGCCTGGGTACGGCAGGCCTTTTGTTTCCCAGTTCATCAGGCTGGCGTGGTAGAGTCCCAAACAGGAGATTGTTTTTGCTTGGCTCCTCCTAGGATCATGACTTCTTCTTCTTCTACTACTACTTCTTTTTTTCCCTTTATGGAAGTAGAAACCCCACAAGCAGACTAGTAGTTCTTAATCCACATCCAGTGGTGTTTAGCCTAGCACTTGGTTGATTGGCCTTTTGCTGGAGTAGCATGCACGGATATCCATCCTAGATTCAGGGGTAAGGGGCATGGAGAGCCTAATGGCTCCCTGGGAAAGGGGAAGAGAGGGAGTGCCTTCAGGAAGAATTGGAGCTTTTGTGTCTGTTTCTTCTCTCTTTGGAGAAAGAGCTGCTGGCAGAAGCAAAGTCCTCAGCTATGTGCAAATCTGTGTGTGCCATAAGCACCACCCATTGTGTTGCTGTTGCAGATTCTTTCCTTCCAGGAGCACAGGAAGGATGCAGGTGCTTCTTGGGGTGAAAGAGGAAAGTCCAGCCACAGAGCCAGGGATGGCTATCTTCCAGTGGGCTCAGCCACCAAGATTTGCATACTGAGTGCTGTGGATTCTGGGTCATTTTGCAGAATGAAGAGCTTGTCAGGCTCTGCCCCCTCTGCCTGCTGGTCACCCAGCCTTAACCTCATTGACTACACAGCAGAGAACCCATTGGGTTGACTACTCTGAATGCAGTGGTGAAATCTTTGGGTTTAGGTTTGGTTCCTCACAGCCCCCAGCACTCTGCTAATTCAGACAGGAGTCTAGAGTCCCCAGTCTAAGAAGAAAGGCTGGTAGCTTGCACCAACAACCCATTTGAAAAGCAAAGGCACCAACAACCCTGTTGAAACAAGGGATGATTCAGATTTAAGAAAAAGTATGTCCAATATATTTAGTCATTACTCACAGTCTTTCCGAGTCCCCTTTGCAGAGAAATAAATATGACAGCAAAAATGAATGAATCTCGTTTGGTGCTATCAGAAGAAAATTCTTGCCAAAGAAAATCACAGATTTAACTTCATTATATTCTCCAGGATTTTTCTATCCAAGTGAACCACCGAAATGAGGCATACAACCTTTGTTGAAACATTAAGGATTGGTGGTAGCATTGTTAGAGTTCAGCTGTTTAGATTCTCAGTCGTGGGAGAGCCAGAACAGATTTGAATACTAGAGAAAGTCTTGTACCTGTACTATTACCTAGGCTCTGATGTGAACTTAAATTATACCTCTGTTACTCAAAGTCACCAATTTTAAGACAGAGGTGCTGAGGCAAGAAAATGAGCATTGCAGTCCCACCCAGAAATAAACCTGGGTTTTTTTCTGTAGACAGAAGTCCTCCCTTCCTGCTGTTTGAAGACTTTGGGTTTCTGTTGCCTCTAAGCACAGACATGTCTGCTCCACCCAGTGACTGTTGGAGATGGGTAGGTGGAGAGCAGACATTGTGTAGATCACACAGCCTTTGGTCCTTTGTGAAGATTTATATGTTTGTGTGTGGGACTTGCTCCCAAGCCACACAGTGCCAGAAGATCTCCTTGTTGTAATTGTCAGTTGACCATGGATTTTCCACATTGCCTGACCTCTGTTTTGCTTATGCCTTTTAAATGCTCAGGCTGTTTTGTTCTCTGGGATGGAATGTTCATTGCCTCTTCTGTAACCCATATTAGTGACATATTTAATCTCCAAGCTATAAGCATGTATACTTATGGTCGGTACCATGACTTTCCCTGAAGAATATCTTATAGTGTATGGCTGCTGTCAAATGGCACCTGCACAACCCTGACACTCTCATTCATGTTAGGATTCTGCTTTCTTTCCCATTTGGTACAATATTGTCATCTCCATGGCAGCACCCAGAATGAGGAGTCTAAGTATAGTCCTGAGACATGACTGGTGCTTGCTCTAAGGACGATCCCATTCAAAAGTCCCTACTTATTCTTTGGGAAAAAAAAAGAAAAAAAAAAAAGAAAAAGGACTTTCTCCATGCCTTGATTTGTAACTTTCAGTATTATTTCAATGGTTTTATAGGATCATTGTTGGCTGTAGCTGAAGCACCAAACCAGCTACTGCCTTCATTAAACAGTAAAACTGAAGTCTCTTGTGGCAGCTACTCCTCCCAGAAAGTCCTAGGGGCCATGAGCATCTGGGAAAAATAAGGAGGCTGGAGGATGCTTGGGTCCTGTGAATCTTTCCAGACGTGGGATGCAGTTCTAAAGCAGTCCACTTGGCGGCGCTTGGTGGCTGTCCAAGGTGCTGAAGGACCAAATGAGGACCCAGAGATGCCAGAGGGCTGGGACCATTGACAGAGTTGTCACAAATCCACTCCTTTTCTATCTTGATTTCTATCATGTTCTCATATTTATTCATGTATCTATTAGGTAGGCAGAAATGCAGAATAACTGTGAGAGGCTGAAAGAGATAGACACACACATGCCACAAGGAGAGAGGGAGAGAGAGAGAAGAGAAAAGAGAGAGAGAGAGAGGGAGAAAGGAGAGAGAGGGAGAGAGAGAAAGAGAGAGTGAGAGGAAGAAGAAGAAGAAGAAGAAGAGGAAGAGGAGGAGAAGAGAAGAGGAGAGGAAATCATCCTTCTACTGGTTCATTCACCTGATGGCCATTAAAACCAGAATCTGGCCTGGAGAAAACTTAGAGCCTGTCACTTTATTTATTTCAGGACAAAGTAGAATAAATGCAGTGATTAATAAAACCTGCTGCACTTAGATTAACAACAGCAGGCTTGTGAAAAAGAAGATGATAAATTTTTGGGTAAGTCAAGAGATTCCATGATTTCTGTAAGTGAAATACTTCA